ATGTTCAATATATTTCCCTATTTTACTTGTACTATATTGTTTTGTCTGTCTCACAGTCCTTGAACCACATTATGTTCCTTACTGCTTGCAATGCTAAAGCCCTAAATGAAGCAAGTCTAGCTTTTCTCAGGTTTAGGATCTCCCATTTCACTGGGCTCCTTTTCAATTTAAATGGGTTAATTTGTTACTGTCAAAATTATATATATTCAGAGACTAAGGGTTAGTCTATACATTGTTGAACAACTGCATGAGGGGCAGGATATGCTCAACTTTTCGCCAACACCTGGTAACACCACTGTTTGATTGCCATCCATACACACATACTTACTGATTTGGTCAGAGTCGTACAGAGGAGATTTCTGATTAAATAAATGGTTTTGCCGCTTATATATCACATCATATCAAGCAGAAATAGTAATTCTAATTATGATACTATTTTCTCAGTTTTGTTGAATTTCCAACTTGAAATAGTCGGAATGTAGCACTTTAAACTTTCCCGTGCAAGTTTCCATTCATTCAGACGCGCTGAGTTATAGCGCCACGCTGTGACACGTTGACGTAGGTGATTGACAGCTATCGACAAGCTAGAACTCTTAGCCGTCCTACAGCTGAAATCTGCACTAAATTATACTAGCTGTGCACATGAGTTTATTTCCTTTCAAAAACAGAGGGTAAAGAAAACACGTTAGTGTTGCCTGTATACAGTTCACTGAGGTCGGCATCCGTGGCAGCAAAACCATCTGTCGGATACACCGTCGGTAATTCGTCGAGCCGGTTGTTCATTTCATCGGGATGATAAGCTAAATTGACTAATAGGTGTTGCGTGATTGACAGGGGGATGCTGATAGCCTTTCCTCCTTTATCAAGCGTTACTGGCCACACGGGATATTAGCAGTCAGAGATAAAGGTTCTGAAAAATAGCAAGTCACTGAATGATAAATTACATTTGCCTTCGAAGTCGATACTGTCAACAAAAGATAAACTTCTTAATCCAATAGCAATACCATGTTGCATAACAAGGGATTAGCGCTTGTAGGTTTTAGAATTTATTTTTGTTTCGTTAAGATCACGATATTTATAATAGAACAATATTCTTTCGACTGGACATGAAACATTACTTCCGACCATAGGCGCTGAAACAATGTAGGTGTGGTTCCATACAATCTCTTCATCTGAATTGACAGTACCTTCAGGTACTTCAGGTACATATACTCATGCCAATAATGGTTGTCACCCCCTCCCCACCCCAACCCCCACACACCCACACCCCGCACCCCATCTCCAATTAAAAAATTGAAGGGGGTGACAACCATTATTGGCATAAGTATATTACAAGCCTCTGGACAGACTTTTTTTTATAAATTACACACCTTCAGTAAATCTGTATTTATGATAAGACGATACCTTTTGCTTTACATGAACGATTAGGCCACCAGGTGCAAGTGTTTCCATGCATACTGGATGTCTAGTGATTTCCATATTGTAAAGTATATGTACACGGGTGAGTGACCCGTTTGTCTGAGGCGCCGTAATTCGCTCTGTAGAACGTCTCTTGTGGGATACCTATGTTCCTGGGTTCGAATCCCTTGGGAATAAGGGACTTACTCTTACTTTCATATGAAAAGTGTGTGAGTAAAGGGGACAGAACACGCTCATCCTTTGTAGAACACCCGGTGTCGTCACTGGCTTTCGGCGGTATTTGTGTATGATTTTCAGCACTGTTTTACACACTCGCGCGCCGTGTGGTGTGTGTTTTGGCGGTTGGTCTGGAACCGATTGTCCTTGATGTGTTTGATGTGATATATTATCTGTTCTTGCTCATATTCAAATACAAAAACAGAATCGATTATTCATTGACATGACATTCAATGACATTTATCTAAATTAGATTGCTGTCATGCGTAAATGGTTCCAAAAGTTACATGTATACTCTGGATATTTGAGAATAAAGAAGCCTGACTTGGGGCGTGGGGTAGCCTAGTGGTTGAAGCGTTCGCTCGTCACGCCAAAGACCCAGGTTCGATTCCCCACATGGGTACAATGTGTGAAGCCCATTTCTGGTGTCCCCCGCCGTGATATTAATGGCTGGAATATTGCTGAAATCGGCGTAAAACTAAACTCACTGACTCACTATTTTCCCTTGTGTATTTAAACACACTTGAGTTTTAGAACACATTCAGATAATGCACCTGAAGTTTTTGTGTACTTTATGTACGTTCACACAATACGTTACATCACGTCAACACGATCTGTTTGACGGTGACAGTGCTAACCACACAGCGTTGTCTATTGTCGTTGATATTGACATGCTCCACGTGCTGGCAACCCCATGGGGTCCAGCTTACTGAGTCGAAACACCATCAATAATAAATAAGAATGTTTTGGACGTCTAAGCACTATTGATGAAACTCGTTCTTTTATATGCTTATTTTGTTCTATTCATGAGCCATCTAACGCCTTACACAAGTGATACAAAATCGTTAAAAGAAATTCAATACTAATTTGACGCAATAGCATATAGTTTCAAGGCCGATCAATAAAGATAGGTATGTGTGATTACCTTCTCACATATGTGTCTAAAGAATCGATCGAGGCGATCCTCAACGTATATTATAAGGAATTCTGTTAATGGCATATTAGCATCAATGTGTTGTTATCTGCCAAATATCAAATGGTCTTTTAATTCTTTCCATGTATTCTTTTTCATGTTTTCTGTCTATATTTATGTTTTATCCGTTTATTCGTCGATCGACTATATGTGCGCACAGTTAAGCATTAACAGACCGGCTTTAACGTGTTTTGTAGGTCTTTCTGTTGATGATGTGTGGGAGGTAATGCTATTGTTGCATGGAATGTCTCCCCGTAGAGCAAATATTAGTACATACATAATTTATGTGTATATATGCACATTAGTCTTACACGACCTATTCTGATGACACGCCTGACGTGTTGGTTGGGAACAGAGCCTCAGAATACTATATTTATGGTGGCCGAGAAGGGACATCTCTTTCTCGCCTTCAGTTACGGCCTCGTGTTATCATCGCCCTCTCGTCTCGTGTTATCGCTTTCTCGTCTCGTGTTATCGCTTTTTCTCATTTCCTCGGTCAAAATTCAAAGTACATGTACTAAATCGATGGCACTTCTCAATCACCATGCATACTTGCTGTAAGAGCCCACTTCTAACCATCTTGGAGGTTACAGCATATGACTTCGCTTAATGTGTTTTATATACTCCGACGACATCGTCTCTCATGCTATCAACCACTAGCCCTTGTTGTCCTGTCCACGTTGTCTGCAGACCACCACCATACAGTTCGAGTATCGATGAAACAAAACATTCATTATATTTGCTATGATTTGTTGAGATTTTAGAAAATATGATCATAGAATTTCATCCTCTTGATCAAAATGAACCCTTTTTTATCAGTTTTACATGAACAAAACACCGCGAAGAAGAATTCCTGATATGTAGAATTACTTTGTTAATATGTGCATATATGTCTTTGTGGAATTACTTCAAATAGATACACAGAATTCCTTCTTTCACAGTTAGATATTTCTTCGATCATAATTAGACTTCCTTTGATCATAGGTAATTATTTCTGTAATTATATTTAGAGCTCCTTTGTTCCTATGTTGATATTACCCATATGTCGAATTCCTTATTGTACAATTATGTTTCGCTCATAAGTAGATTTCTCTCGACCATATGTTGATATTCCAACAATCCTATGTAGAATTCCATTGTTCATGTATATATATTCCTTTGTTTGTATGGGAATTCCTTTGTTTCTAAGTGAAATCCTTTCCATCATGTATAGAATCCCTCCATCATATGTAGAATTGCTTCGTTCATTTGTGATAATTCCTTGTTCACATGTAGATATTTCTTCGTTACTTTGTAGATATTATTTGTTCATATGTAGACTCTGAGGTATGTACGTTCAAATGTAGAATTCCTTTGTCCGGGAAAAGTCAAGATCCGGGTTAGAATTTGTCATCAGCATCCCATGCTTGTCGTAAAAGGTGACTTACGGGATCGGGTGGTCATACTCGCTGACTTGTCATCGTATTCCAATTGCGTAGATCGATACTCATGCTGTCGATGACTGAATTGTCTGGTCCACCCTCAGTTATTTACAGACCGCCCCTATATAGCTGAAATATTGCTGAGTGCGGCGTGAAACTACAAACCAACCAACCTTTGTCCGTATGTAGAGCTTCGTATGTAGATATTTCTCAAAGTGATCTTCCGGAAAGCAAGGGTTTCTGACTAAGCTTTTCCGGATTAACGGGGGTTCACTGTGATTTATTTTCAATTTTAAAGTAACGACTTAAATTTCCACACACCCATGGTTCTTTCAAGACCATGTTATTTCTTTACACAGACAATTACCTATTGTTCGATTCGTCTTTGATGTAAAAAGATCGATACATATAATCGTTACTTTTGCAAGAAATCCAGATTGTCGTAAAACAGATGAACGCTATCGTGATCAATAGCAGCTGTCGCCTATAACGCATGTATATTTCAAAGGTAAGACAAATCATCATTTTGGTCTGGTGAGTTCTAGAAATGTTTGCCATTTGTGTAAAAGCCGTACGCTATTTAGTGATTTTCTACACAATAGTTTCCTAGAGTTCTAGCCACGGTGTAAATAATACACGAATGCGACGAATACATGTGGCAAAGAATGTAAATAGCATGTATATTTCATTGCCTCAGTTGTGTGTTCACTTGAGTGACGGTGGGAATAACGATCTTCAAAGGAAATGTCTAACCATTGAGACAGCTATTATGAATCAGGCTATGGCTGCGTCTCCGAGGATGGGTGTGATGAGACAAGAGGCGGTCATTTTGTCAGTCACAATTTAATAATTTAAACCTATGTGAACAATGCTTGTTGTATGTGACACTTGATCGATTCCATCCACGTCCGCATTACCGTCGTGATGTTGCTGTTGTCATGTTCAAACGGAGTAAAATTCAGTTCACCCACTCATCAGTACAATCACCATCATCGCCAAGTAGAATTTCGTCATCAATGTCGTCTCCACCTCTACGTCGTCATCCTTTTCATCCTTCTTATTCTTCATCTTATCCTTATGATTATCTTCACTAGCACAGTGATCATCATCATGATCACCATCATCAACACATTGGTCGTTGATATTTCCACCATAGGCGGATCCAGGAATTTTCAACAGGGTGTGGGTGTGGATGTGGTGGTTTCAAACCGCCTGAACACACACACACACACACGCACGCACGCACGCACACACGCACATATATCAATGCAAGACATCAACTTCATTGTGGTCTTTAGTCATTTTCAAACCGCCTAAACCCCGCCCGCACACACACACACACACACACACACACACACACACAACCCCCCTCTCTCACCCCGCTAATGGCCACTGTCAGTTCTTGAGCGACGTTCTAGGCATTGCTGGTGTATTGAAGTGAACATTGTAGGTAGCAATTTGTTCTGCCAGAGGGAGGGTTTTCTTATTGTTGATACCCGTGAAGGTACGGGTTAGAATGCGCCTTCAGTAACCCATGCTTGTCTTTAGAGGCGACTAACGGGATCAGGTGGTCAGGCTCGCTGGCTTGGTTGACACATGTCATCGGTTCCTAATTGCGCAGATCGATGCTCATGCTGTTGATAAATGGATTGTCTGGTCCAGACTCGATTATTTACAGACCGCCGCCATATAGCTGGAATATTGCTGAGTGCGGCGTAAAACTAAACTCACTCACTCACTCTTATTGTTGATTTAAAAAAATATTTGATATTGTTGACGAATAACTGTATAGGTTGCAAACATTTTTTAAGAGACATGAAATATATTGTGCTCACAAATTGTAGAAGTATTTTGTTTGAAACAGGCAAGCTGAAAGATTTTGCTTGAAACACATATTTCATTGCCAACAGCGAGAAGCCACGTGGAAATTTGCCTCCATTACACTGAATACCTTTGAAGTACGACGTAACTGTTACCCAGACAAAATCTCAGCGGTGCTTTACTGTACCAGGATAATCACCAGTAATCCTCTTAACGGGAACCAAAAAGGGATTAGGCTTATTACTTACATGATCGTGTATTATTAATCCACGTTAGTTGTACGGGATTAAGATGAGACAGATTTAAACGATATGTATTTCACAGTTGACGAAGTTGTAGAATTCTACCCTCCCTTACCCCTCAAGGGATCACGCCTTTGACGGGGGTTTAACGCTAATTCAAACTGGGATTAGTCCCGTGTCATATAGCGGGATCTATTGTCAACCTGGAACCTGAAACATAATGTTCTGTAGGAGTTCTTGATCAAAGGAGACGGGGTGGTAGCCATCTGGGTGGGGTGGGGATGGGAGATTAGGGCTTGGAGATTGGGGCTAGGAGAGGGCATGGTAGAGGAGTCCCCAGTGGTGTGGGTGTTTCTGTGATGGGGGCTATTCAAAGGTTTGGAGGTTTCTCAGAGTCGGGGGTCAGTAGGAGGAGAGCATCAGGGGTAGTGGTGTTGTCCAGAGAGAGTTGACGTGTATGGGATCGGGTGCTGTCATAACGGGATTGGTGTCAGTAGGGTGGGGATGTTGTCAGGAGAGGAGAGAGGATGGGGACAATGGGGTGGGGATGTTGTCAGGAGAGCTGGGGACAATGGGGTGGGGATGTTGTCATGAGAGGAGAGAGGATGGGATGGGGTGGGGATGTTGTCAGGAGAGGCTGGGGACAATGGGGTGGGGATGTTGTTATGAGAGGAGAGAGGATGGGATGGGGTGGGGATGTTGTCAGGAGAGGCTGAGGACAATGGGGTGGGGATGTTGTTATGAGAGGAGAGAGATGGGATGGGGTGGGGATGTTGTCAGGAGAGGCTGGGGACAATGGGGTGGGGATGTTGTTATGAGAAGAGGAGAGAGGATGGGGACAATGGGGTGGGGATGTTGTCAGGAGGCTGGGGACAATGGGGTGGGGATGTTGTTATGAGAGGAGAGAGGATGGGATGGGGTGGGGATGTTGTCAGGAGAGGCTGGGGACAATGGGGTGGGGATGTTGTTATGAGAGGAGAGAGGATGGGATGGGGTGGGGATGTTGTCAGGAGAGGATTGGGACAATGGGGTGGGGATGTTGTTATGAGAGGAGAGAGGATGGGATGGGGTGGGGATGTTGTCCAGGAGAGGATGGGGACAATGGGGTGGGGATGTTGTTATGAGAGGAGAGAGGATGGATGGGATGGGGTGGGGATGTTGTCAGGAGAGGCTGGGGACAATGGGGTGGGGATGTTGTCATGAGAGGAGAGAGGGATGGGGTGTGGATGTTGTCATGGGGTGGGGATGTTGTCAGGAGAGGCTAGGACAATGGGGTGGGGATGTTGTCATGAGAGGAGAGAGACGACGGATAGGGATGTTGTCAGGAGAAGTGGGGACAATGTGGTGGGGATGTTGTCAGGAGAAGAGGGGGACGATGTGGTAGGGATGTTGCTATGAGAGGTGGGGTGGGTGGTGGGTGGACGTTGTCAGGAGAGGAGAGGGGCGAAGGGATGGGGATGTCAGGAGAAGGGGGGGGGTGATAAGCTTGGGATGTTGTTAGGTGAGGAGAGGGACGCTTGGGAGAGGATGTTGTCAGGACAGGAGGGAAAGGATGGGGTCAGAGTTCTGGAAATATGTGAAGGGCGTCGGTAGGCTTGGGACGGGGGTGATTTGCAGGCAGAAAGTACGAAAAGAAGCAGTTTGACACAGTTCTTCATGTACGTAAGCTGTAGATTATCTTTGTTGGTGGTTCGGGTATCAGAATTAAGTACCAAATCGCTGATGTGCCCTCTTGGGTATTTCTCCACATTCTTCACAGGCTGTTAAACGGCACAATGGTTATTTGAAGTTTATGCCCCTTGTGAACTAGCAATCCCGCTCGCCTCACTGGGCGAGACTTCACAACAATCTCAAAGTAAACCACTTGAGCGTAATTTACACATCTATAATTTAATAGTACAGCGCCCCCCAACAGATTACTATAAAAATATACTAAAGCTAGGCGTAATATATGGCCGATACCGATACGTCTATACGTAGGTGCACAGTGCCAATTATGCTATCTGGTTTCTACAGCTAGGACGCCATTACGTGTTTACTGTCTACAGATGCACCGTGTCATCATTTCAGTGTATGGCACCACCAGCGGTGTTACGCAGTGCTCGGATCACGGCCCCGTTCACAAAGCTATCGTAGCTCTACGACTGTCGTACCTCCTGTACTGGGCCTAGATTTTCGAAGCTCTCTTAGCGCTGAGATAGTCGTATGTTAATGTTAGTGTATGGCAGTTACGACTATCTTAGCGCTAAGAGAGCTTCGAAAATCTAGGCCCAGTAACATAGACTTACGACTGTCGTAGCGCTGCGATAGCGTTGTGAAACGGGGCCATGGGCAGAGTTATTGAAACTGTCAATATAATCAAAACTGAACTTCTTATTGGGTCGTTACCGAATTTAGCCCTATATACTCGACCGTAGTGCATGTAGGAATGTACATTGTACACTGTCTTATTGAATGTATCGATATATATGAGGAGTGACTGCATTTATTTATGATTTGTAGGTCGACTTACTGAATGTTTCAACATATTCTAGAATGACGTATTGCTCGTATTAATGATTTGTTGGTCGACTTACTGAATGTATCATTATACATGTATCATGACTTGTCATTGACTTACCTATTGAATGTAGTAATATATCCCACACCGTTTCAATGGATGTAGCAATATGTCATTGACCTATCGAATGTAGCAATATATCCCACACCGTTTCACTGTATGTAGCAATATGTCATTGACCTATTGAATGTAGTAATATGTCCCAGACGGGTTCACAGAATGTAGCATGAATGTAGTAATATATCCCACACCGTTTCAATGGATGTAACAATATGTCATTGACCTATCGAATGTAGTAATATATCCCACACCGTTTTACTGTATGTAGCAATATGTCATTGACCTATCGAATGTAGCAATATATCCCACACCGTTTCACTGTATGTAGCAATATGTCATTGACCTATTGAATGTAGTAATATGTCCCAGACGGGTTCACAGAATGTAGCATGAATGTAGTAATATATCCCACACCGTTTCAATGGATGTAGCAATATGTCATGTCAGTGACATAATGAATGTAGCAATATATCCCACACCGGTTTCACTGTAGCATGTAGCAATATGTCATTGGACCTATTGAGATGTAGTAAATATGTCACTGACCTATTGAATGTAGCAATATATCCCACACCGTTTTACTGTATGTAGCAATATGTCATTGACCTATTGAATGTAGCAATATATCCCCAGCACAGGAGAACAGAATGGAGAGGATGGACAACGGATGAGGACAACGTGGACCGGATGGAGACAATGGATGGATGGACACACCGGAGGCTGGGACAACGGACGGATGGACAGGGATGTTGCTATGAGAGGTGGGGTGGGTGGTGGGTGGACGTTGTCAGGAGAGGAGAGAGAGGGGCGAAGGGATGGGGATGTCAGGAGAAGGGGGGAGTGGGTGGTGATAAGCTTGGGATGTTGTTAGGTGAGGAGAGGGACGCTTGGGAGAGGATGTTGTCAGGACAGGAGGAAAAGGATGGGGTCAGAGTTCTGGAAATATGTGAAGGGCGTCGGTAGGCTTGGGACAGGGGTGATTTGCAGGCAGAAAGTACGAAAAGAAGCAGTTTGACACAGTTCTTCATGTACGTAAGCTGTAGATTATCTTTGTTGGTGGTTCGGGTATCAGAATTAAGTACCAAATCGCTGATGTGCCCTCTTGGGTATTTCTCCACATTCTTCACAGGCTGTTAAACGGCACAATGGTTATTTGAAGTTTATGCCCCTTGTGAACTAGCAATCCCGCTCGCCTCACTGGGCGAGACTTCACAACAATCTCAAAGTAAACCACTTGAGCGTAATTTACACATCTATAATTTAATAGTACAGCGCCCCCAACAGATTACTATAAAATATACTAAAGCTAGGCGTAATATATGGCCGATACCGATACGTCTATACGTAGGTGCACAGTGCCAATTATGCTATCTGGTTTCTACAGC